TTAATAAAAAGTTATTCAATTTATATAAAATTTTTAAAATATATATATTTTGATCTCCCGAATAACTTTTACTTAATAAGCTATGTTGATATGCTTAGTAAAATTTTTGTAATCGAGCAAAATCTGCTTTTATCTAAAAATAAGCCACTCTGATTTTTTGAGCTTAAAATCATCCAAAAAATGGTAGCTTATTTTCGGGAATCTATAGTATACCTTTTATCTTGTTTTGAAAGCTTTTTTTAAGTATAACAACAAACTTACCAAAGTTATTTAATATTCTAAACTATTTAGAGTTATTACCAACAAAGATTTATTGAAATTCAAGCAGAGTTATAACTGACCAAGTAAATTAGATCATAATTGAAGGAATTAAAGTAATGCTTACTACTATGGTACTACTATAGTACTAATATAGTTTTTAAAAATTTAGATAAAACTATCAATGAAAACCTTAATATAGATGAAAAAACTTTAGTAGTAGATTATTTAAGAATTATACGATATCAAAATTTTGAATCTGTTAGGTTGGATTAAACTACTATTGCTAAGAGATTAAAGCTATAGAGTTAACTTAAAGAGAGTTAATTATATTGAATATTTTTTTTTTAAAAAAAAATTTATTAAAAATTAAATTATATGATCTTTATTTATATTTTTCATCAAAATTTTTTTAATAAATATCAAAATTTTAGTTTATTCATCAAAGCTAATAACCAATAAGTAATCTCTTAATAAAAAAAATATAAAAATATATCTTTTTGTAGAGTAACTTTGACTAAAATTTATATTCTGTGCTACGAATCTAGTAAAATTAATTATGATAGTAATGACTAGTGAGCCACATCAAGGTAACTGCTTGAAAATTCTCTAATGCTAAATAAATACTAATAATTAATAAATAATCTTTGAAATAAATAAATAAATAACCTTTATACTTATCGTTATATTGATACAGATAAATAAACCTAAATAAGATAATAAGTATTAATGACCTTAAATAGCATAAAAAATTTTTTCCAAATAAAAAATAAAACAAAAACAGAGAGACCTCTCTAAGTGCACCCCTTCGGGGGTATAGTGAAAAATTCTAACATGTGACTTAGAGAGGGTGTGCATTTATAGAGAAAAAAATATATAGAGCAATTATAAGCTGGGACTAGATTATGCCGTGCGTTTAAAGAGATTTTACATAATAGGTGCATTTATAGAGGGTGCACTTAGAGAGGTCTCTCTGAACATCAATTTATTAAGTGATCTATGTACTAAAAAATGGTTTTTCTTGATTTTCTTCATTATATTTATAATGTACCAGCCCTTCACACATGCATTTTGGTGAAAGCTCTCTCTCTGATGCACCTAATAGATCATTTTTTGAGTTAATAAGTTGTTAACCTGAGAAGAATCAAACAAAAGTAGTCAAAATAATTGCATATATTCAATGAAGTGGTAATTTATAAGAAGTTCATTTTTTTACATTTTTCATACTATTTGATTCGTAAAAACCTCGACAACAGTTTTGTCTTAAGAAACAATATGTATTGGGTTTAAGGTTGGGCAAAATTTTTAAAAATGCAATTTCGTCAGTTTGTGTAATTTGTGAAGATCATATGATAAAATTTTAGATATAACAAATCATATGACTGATAAGCTTTTTGTAACCTTATTTAGTGTAGTCACAAGTTTACTTTAATTAGACTTTTATATTGTTATACTATATTTACGTAATAGTTATAGCTAATTTAAGTCTAATAATATGTCTATGAATAGAGATAGTAGTAGGAAGTTCTTCGTTTGTATTTTTCTTGAGTCCTTTAGTTTTTGATTTCTTTAGTTTTTTGGAATAAGGGATATTTGAGAGAGTTATAGTGTACCGAGTACACTTGTTAGAAAGATACTTACTTGTATCGTTCATATTTCTTTGTACTTTTAGTGTCTTGTATGTAATAATAAATAGTTGGTTCCCTACTTTTAATGCTTACGACCTGAGTTGAATTGGCAGTGCTGTTATAAAGTCTCTCCCTTGTCGTAACAACAATAAGGACATTGGTAACGGTTTCCGCTTGATGAATCATTTGGTGATATTTGACCATTGAAGTGATCAGTATGATATCCATAATGTTTGGCAGCAGGGGTTAATAATGAAGTATTCAATCTTGGAAGGGATTGCATTGTTGATAATAACTGAACGGAGAGATTAGGATCGGATGAATAAGTGGCGGGCAAGACGATTATCGTTGTTGGGAATATAATGAGTCATAGACACCAGAGGATGATTGCCGGCTATATGAAGGAGATAGGTAGATTGACACTAGTCGGCTGACACAGCAAGCACATTGTTGTTCAGATGTTTGAGGAACTATATATCTTCTTGATGTTGAAGTTATCAAGAACCATATATCTCTCTTCTTGATATTGAAGTTGTCAAGAACCATATATCTTTCTTCTTGATATTGAAGTTGTCAAGAACTATATGTGAAAGCTATTTTAGGCAGTGTTAGCTTATGACCTGTTATAACCTATTGGTAAACTATAGGTTATGACCTTATAACCTGTTATGACTTATAAAATTTACTATTACATTATGACCACCTTGGTCATATAAAGTTAAATATGACCTAAAATGGCCAACACTGATTTCAGATGATTCTGGTGTTGAGAGCAAAGTTCTGATACTGCCAGCA